AATGTTAAAAATTGTCTTTACATGTATAATTGGAAGAAAATAAAATATTATTAAAAAACAAAAAGCAATCATAAGCTACATTTTTATTGTTTTAGAAAAAGAAAAAAGGCACTATTCCCCAAGTGCTCCAGACTCAAAACATTAGAGCCATATTCAATTTCTTCCCCTTCCCCCTCAAATTCAACCCATTAAAAAGTCTTTCTGGTTTTTCTGCACAATGCCTTCCCTTCTGTTTCCCTTGTCAGCACCCTAAGCCAGCCTCCCATCACCTCCCCAATAAATCACTGCCAGAGTTTCTTGCTTTCTTTCTCTTCTTGGTCACCTATCTGAAATACAAATTCCACTAAGGCTTAGGATCATAGGCTCATAACTATAGAGCTGAAAGGGACCTCAGTGGTCATCTAGTCCAACACCCTCATTTTGCAGATGAGGAAACTGAGGCCCATGGATAAGTGACTTGCCAAATATATGTGGGCCATAAGCATCAGAGAAAGGATTTGAACCCAGGGCTTCTGACTCTGGAAATAGAATTCTTTCTGCCCTCCTATTAGGAACTTTTTAGGAATTTACAATGCCAAATTCAAACTCCTCCGTCTGTGCTCCAGTCTCACAAACCTCATTTCTAATTATTTCCCAACAGACTACTGTTGATAACCAAGAAAATCTTCTATCTGTGTGTCATGCATAGTTTCCTAATCCCCAGTTCTGTGCCTTTGTATACTTCATCCCTTAATTCAACCAGAGGCAAGATGAGTGTAGAGAGCCTGTCTTTTTTTTTTTTAATCACATTCAAACGCAGTCCTAGTATTCTGCTCTGGACGATGAAGATGCAGTTAGTGTTGACATCTGTCAGATTGGACACCCGATATAGCGGAAATCTGGCTTACCTCTAAAGCTGTCTTTTAACCATCTCATTCTTTGGTCACCCTGAAGGCCAGCTTCAGTGCAATCCATTTTCTTGCTATATATTAAATTCCATGGAATATGGGTCTCCTTGACATTCCAATATTTAATAAGGATTGACATATTTAGAAAAGAGAATGACAGCCAATGGGCTTTTTAAATTTTGTTTTATTTTAATTCATTTGTATTAGATGTCAATATTGTATAGTGACTAAACAACATGCTGTTCTTGGTCATTTTTCAGTTGTGTCCAACTCTTCATGACCCCTTTTGGGGTTTTCTTGGCAAGAATGCTAGAGTGGTTTGCCAGTTCCTTCTCCAGCTCATTTCACAGATGAGGAAACTGAGACAAACAGGATTAAGTGACTTGCTCAGGGTCACACAGCTAGGAAGTCTAAGGCCAGATTTGAACTCAGGAAAATGAGTCTTCTTGACTCCAATCCTAGCACTCTATCCACTTTGCCACCTAGCTGCCCAGCTAAATGATTTGTCACTAAAAGTTCTTTGTAACCAAGCTTGGTGGCTCACATCTGAAAACTCTCCTATTTAGAAGGCCAGATCTATTAAGCTCAGAAGTTCTAAGCTGCAGTGGGCTAAGCCAAATGTGGGATCCACTCTAAGTCTATCATCATTATCAATATGGCTTCTAGAAGCAGGAGGCCGACTAGGCTGCCTAAGCAAGGGTGAACCAGCCCAGGTCAGAAATAGCAAGTGAATAAAGTGTCTGTGCTGATCAGCAATCAGATTGACAGTGTACTTCTAGCTTGAGTGAGATAAGGGAGAGATAACAAGGAGGAAGAGGAGGAGGAAGAGGAGAACAAGGAGGAGGAGGAGGAGGAGGGGAGAGAGAGAGAGAGAGAGAGTGAGAATGAGAGAGAGAATGAGAGAGAATATGAATAGTTACTTGCTTAAGGAACTGCAGATAATAATTAAAACGTTCATTCACAAAGGAAGAAAGTTAACTGAAGTGAAAAAAATTAAGGCATGTCATTAAGTTATAAGATAATTGAAAGTTTTAAAGGAAGCCATCATGCATTGTTGCACAATGAAATTTCTCCTAACATATCAAAAAATTACTTTCTGGACAAAGTAGTTTAAAGTAAAATTTGTTAGAAATACAATACATACCTTGATTGTCCACTTCCTCATTAATCACATATACTTGAGTAGGTAAGATGCATTCTATCTTGAGATGAATTGACTTCTTGTGTTCAGAAATCTCTCAATTTGAAGAATAACTTAAGTGAGGATGGGGTGCACAGGACTAAGACAGGACATCTCAAAAATCATCAGAGCTACATCAATAGTCAGCGAGTACCACCTGAGAGTGCAGGGTCCTGAGTTGGCTGCACACTATCCTCAATCCACTTCTGTTGACTGCAAAGGACACTTAAGAAGCAATACCTAGTTAGATAATGATTCCTTACCTGTGGTCTTTCCCTGTAGAATCTGTTCATTACCAATAGACTACTGTGAATATCTGCCTGATGTCACTAGATTAGGGGGGAAAGGGTTAAAAAATGATTTTCCAAATGAGATTGGAAAACTTGTTTTAAAAAATTCACATAAACTAGAAACCAGAATCAGACTAAGTCAAGGAACAATAGAAGAAATGGCAGAGAAGAAAATGAAAGAGAGAAGTGGAAAGCAACAAATAAAATAAACACACATAAATACAACAGCATAAAACATAAGAATAACCAAAATTCTTAGAGCAAAGAAATTATATTCAATAAGAATATGTGGCCTTGCCATTTTGGGAACTGATTTTAGAGAAACACAAAGGTGTTTTGCTGAGAAATTATCTTGTACCCCATTATCAGGGAAGGATAAAATCTTTGTTCAAGAATATTTTATAAATGACGTTAATGATGTAATTGATAAGAAATGGACAGAGATGAGTAATAACAGCATTGCGGATCTTGAAGAAATAAGTGATTTTTAAAATTTGTCTGTATTCAGTGGCATGACATTAGAGTTGATGTAACCAAAGGGAAACAGGCCTTTAAACTATGAGTGTATTTATACAAATATATGCATATATACACACATGCATATACTTGTAGATATACACGTGTGTATGTAACTATACACACATGTATGTACATATAAATATATATGTATGTACATATGCAATTTTTTGTCCAAAAATAAAACTGCAAGCTACCCTTTTCTTTAACATTTTCACTGCTTGGTACAAGGTTGCTTGTTTTTAAAATGTCAAAATCTGATGGCTATGGAAACTGTCATATATATATATATATATATATATATATATATATATATATATATATATATATATATATATACACATATATATATGTGAAATATAAATTTATTTAAATTAAAATTTTTTATCATAAGGTTAAAAAATTAAGAATACAATTCCTTTTTTGGGTTAATCTACAGAAGTATGGCAGTTAGCTATATGTTTCATTGCTGGATTTTATATAGGACCTGTTACAAAAGAATCCTAAACTGCTCAGCTTATTGTCATATAGGAAATATGGAACTTCAGAAATCAACCTGACCATTCCCTAAACCTTACTAAGAAAATTGTCTGGGTGGATTCTGCTTAAGAGAAAAATCCAAAAATATCACCTTTGCATCTTTCCCGCTCTTCATTGAACAAAAATATTATCCTCACCTGCTGCCCCTGATGGACACCTGAAAGATAAAAGACTGTAGCTTAGAAAAGATAGCTTGGATTCTAGATCATCCTTAGCTTTCCTCCTTCTGTTGAGTTGTACCAGAATCTCCAGCCACCTGTTCCTATCCCCTTTGTCCTTACTTAGTGCAGACCTCTCCAAGTGCTACCTGGTATCACTTTTAGTGTGTCCCTCGCTCCCTTACCTCAATTTATGCATTACTTTACAAGAGAGGTAGGAAGATGAAATATAATGGACACATGATCTCTAAGCAATATTAACCAAATTAACCATTTGCTATGAATCAAATAGAAAACAAATAGTGTTGTTATTGTTCAGTTGTTTTTCAGTTGTGCCCAACTCTCTATGACCCTATTTGGAATTTTCTTGGCAAAAATGCTGGAGTGATTTGCCATTTCCTTCTCCAGTTCATTTTACAGATAAGGAAACTGAGGCAGAGTTAAGTGACTTGTCCAGGGTTACACGGTTAATAAGTGTCTGAGGCTGGATTTGAACTCAGGAAGATGACTCTTCCTGACTCCAGGCCTGGCACTCTGAACACTGCACCACTTAGCTGCCCAAAGTAAATAAAAATATATACCTATTTATCATTTGGAGACGATAAGACCAATCAGAAATAGTTCCAGAATTACTGTTATTATTGCTAAAAAAAGAGACAAAGGTCTGAAACCTCCTGTTCCAGACCATTCAGACTGTCCAGCCACACTGCCATCCTAAAGTAGTTACTTATTTGTATACATATTGCATATAGAATGTAATCTCTTTGAGGGCAGGGACGATTTCATTCTCACCAACAGAGAGCAGGCCTTTGAATCAAAATGACCTGGCTTCAAGTCCCGCGTTTGACACATAATGGCCGTTTGATCCTCAGCAAATCATTTAGCTTCTTAGTTACAGAGCAGGAGTCATGTCGCCGTGGTAGAAGAAGTTTCCTCCCCAGAGGGCTCCCTACAATATTTAAATCATGTGTTTAGAACAATAAAAAAAGTTTCTAGGAACAACTTAGCACAGTGTTCAAACACAGCAAGTATTTAATAAATGCTCATTGCATAATAGTATCCTAGAAAAGTAGTTTTAATTGCCTGACCAATCTTTGGCTTTTCCAGCCTGGAAATATGAATTTCTTTTTTTTTCCTTTTATGAGACATTTGGGGTCAAGTGACTTGCCTAGGGTCATACAGCTAGTAAGTGTCAAGTGTCTGAAGCCAGATTTGAACTCAGGTCCTCCTGACTCCAGAGCCAGTACTCTAGCTACTGCACCACCTAGCTGCCCCAGAAATGTGAATTTCTAAATTTAAATTGTACTTTAATTTCTTCATGTGGGATGATTAACGTGGAGTTCTTTACTTTAAAAAGCCTTGGAAGCTCTGAGACACTTATATGGTGAATGTGGCTGGATTCATTCTTACTTTTTTTTCCCCCTTCCAGTTCTGACCAGCGGGTGCCCTGTTCTTCTTCCTACCACAGTTCTAGCTTACACTCGGGTGATGGCGTCACGAAAACAGGACCCATGGGCCTTCCAGACCTAAGACAAGTGCCAACTGTTGTGATTGAATGTGATGACAATAAAGAAAATGTGCCTCATGAATCTGATTATGAAGACTCCTCCTGCCTGTACGCAAGGGAAGAGGAGGATGAGGATGAAGACGAAGACGATGACACCTCATTATACACTAGTACGTCTGAACTGTTCATCAGATGCCCCCTCCCCCAGTAATTTTCTTTCTGTTGTTTCCTCAAAGCATAAGGAAAACACAAAATGAACCACACTTCATCTTCTCTTTAAAGAGGCTGGCTGTATCACCATAATTTTTTTTTAGTCGCAAAGAATGCTCAGTAATTAATGCCAACCGTTGTGTATGTAATTATTCATTTTCATTCAGATACCAACAACTTTGGAAGATCAGAATTTAAGTTTCCTATTTAGGTGTCTTAAAATGTGTTGAGAAAGGAGAGGAAAGTTCAAAATCCATCATTCTAGGCCTGAATAATAAATCCTTTTCAAAATGGCACTCATTTGAATGTAGCACAAGCTGTAGTCCTGATAATTTGAGATAAAATAGGGGAGAAAGAAAAGACAAAGAAAATCCACAGGAAATCCCCAAACCTTTTGCTAGCCAATAGCTTCAATTTCCTTTCCCTCCAAACCGTTTAACCAAACTGCTGATAACTAGCAGAATTGTCTCATTTGAGTTTCTTCTCTTTTCTTTTCTTTTTACAAAGGCAGGGGGAAAACAGCATGATTGATGGGTCTCTGATAGGAATGTTAATGATGGTCAAAAGACAAGTGAGGAAAGAACCAATGATCCAATGGTATTAGTAATCCACAGAATGAAAAATCAGACCCCCAGTCATATGGAGCCAAGTGTATCCTAAGAAATACAGCATCATTGGCCTTCTCTGGTTACCAATAATATCTCATTTAGGTTGAGCTTTTAGAGTTTGCAAAGCAATTCTTTCACAACAGCTTTATAAAGTAAATAGTAAAAGTATTAATATTCTGAAAGATTAAGTAACCTGACAGTGGCTACACAGACTAATAATTATCTAAGCTAGGATTTGAACCCAGACCTGCTAATTACAAATCCAGCCTTCTAACCATTGTGCCAAGTAGCCTCTGAGTAGCTGTTGGCACTAATTCTAAAAAAGAACCTGCTACCAAAGACCATTCCCTAGTACAAGAGATATTCCATAACCTAAATCTCTCTTGTCTACCCCCTTTATTGATCCTCTAATCAAGAGAAGACAACACCTCCATAGCTACTTGTACATAATATGCTCATTTTTATTCTTGTAACTTTACTCATGCCATTTTCTATACTGTCTCTACCCATCCTTTAAAGACTCACATAAGTCAATGAAGGCCTCTCCAGCTACCAAAGCCCACACTAAACTCCCTTTGCCGAGCCCCTATTTTGTTTATTGTCACTACCACACTCTTTAGCATTCTATTGTCCTTGAATTGTTGTGCGAGCATTAGTTTTATCAGCCTTAATAAACTGTAAGTTCCTGAAGGCAGGGATCATGCCACATGTTTCTATTATCTACAAACCTCAGTAAATACCTGTTTGTTTGATTGAACTCTATAAATCTGCGTTTGAGTTGAAGCTAAAACTCTTTTGAGTCTTAAGCTCTTTATGGCTATTTTTTTACAACAATATCGTGCAACTCTTCATTGTTGGAAGAGAATATAGGTGTTTGTGGGGGTAAATGTTCTGTTTTTGTGTCTTCTTCCAGGTTCTCTGGCTATGAAGGTGTGCCGAAAGGATTCCTTGGCCATCAAGCTCAGCAACAGACCCTCCAAGCGAGAGCTAGAAGAGAAAAACATTTTGCCCAGACAGACGGATGAGGAGAGGCTGGAACTGAGACAGCAGATCGGTACCAAGCTTACCAGGTAAGGATGCTGGCCAGTCATTGCTTATTTCTCAGTGAGACCATAGAGGAGAGTTATATTTTCCTGGCTATTGGGTAAGTCAAACCTATGCGTGACAGCAGAAGAATTTCCTTTGCAGAGATCTGACTTCAAATCCACCCTTGGGGAAATGGTAGTTATTCATCTCTTGAACCAATATCTCATCTTCCTCACTTGAAAAGCCATTTAGTGTGCAGGTAGCTTCCCTAAGGATGACCACTGAGTAGAAAAACCAACTGTAGCAAAGTAACACTGTCAAAGAACATTGAATTCTCACATGAATATGGAACCATGTTTTGTTGTTTTTGTATTTACTTACAAATGTAACTAAATAAAAAACATCCCTTGCACTCAAAGGTTTTATGAATGTAGTACCATGAAATACAGAACATCCACACTAAAAGATACACAAATCACTGCATATCTCAACCCAACATCCCTCTTTTGGTGTAAGAAATCTTGTGTGTGTGTGTATGTGTGTGTGTGTGTGTGTGTGTGTATATATATATGTGTGTGTGTGTGTTGTGTTATGTATGTGTGTATGTATATTTATGTATGTGTATGTATATGTATATATACACACATATAGATATATGTATGTATGCACACATGTGTATATGTGTGGATATATACATATATGTATACATATACATATATGTGTACATTTGCAAATGTGCAAAATATATCTCTATATATTGATATATCAACACAAACTATGTCAATAAATAAAATCTGCATTTTGATGTATGATACAGGTGTTTGCACTGTGTGTATAAGGTACAGTTTTTTTGTGTTTCATCATGCTAGTAAGCTACAAACTATATCACTGAGTTTAATTCCTGACGAAATTCTAGAACACATTATTAAAAGAATGGCTTGTACGCATCTAAGGGAAGCAGGAATCACTGAGAGCTAGTGTGACTTCATCAAGAACAACTGATCTCAGAAAAACTAGACAAGTAGACCAGAAAACTGATGTGGATATGAGTTTAGCAAGATGTCCACAAAGCACTTGGCAAGGTCTTTCCCAATATCTATGGAACAAAGTGGAAAGATATGAGCTGGATCAGGGATTCCTAAGCTGTAGGACATGGACTCCTGGGACAGCCAAAGATTTTTGTGTAACTATACATATCAAACATTATCATTTTGTAATTATGTAATTTCTTAGTTAAGTGAAACCAATGATACTACAATTATATGGGTTCTGTATAATAGATCTGTGCAATTATATTGTGCTAAAAGGAGATCGTCACATTTAGAAGGGTTGGGATCCCTTCGACTAGATTATACACCCCAGTTATAAGGATTCCAAACTGAATGAATGGCCCATTGTTAACCTGGAAAGACATCTCTGGGGAAGCACCTAGAAGAGCTATCCAGTGCCATTTAACTTTTTTTTAAAAATGACTTGGATGAAGGTATGGATGACATGCAGATGGCACAAACCTGGAACAGATAACTAACAAAGTCCTGACAAAGCCAGGATCCTCAAATATCTGACCAGGTTAAAACAATGGGCCACATCTAATAAGATGAAAACGAGTAGGAATAAATGAGAAGTCCTGCATCTGGGTTCAAAACACTCCAGAGTACAAAGTGGAGGAGGTGTGGCTAGAAAACAGTTCCTGTGGAGATTTGAGAGATATTCATGGACTCCAAGCTCAATATGAGTAAAAGAGGGCAATATAACAGCCTGACAAACTAATTTGGCCCCTCACTTGCTGTTCTCAAAGGCTGTCTTTACATAGTTCCCAGGCTGCTGTCTACACTGTGCATCTACCATTCTAGGTGTGGCCATAGCTGCCCCCTGCTCTGGGGCTACTGCCATTGTTTCCCACTACTTCCTTCTCCTCCTGCTGCCTCTGAGCCTGGAACTGCTTTATTGGCCATGCTGAGGGTCTTATTCACTTGTGCTCTTTGGGATCCACACTGACCCCTTTTTAAAAACTTTGACTCTCTTCCTACTGGTTCTTCCCTCCTTATTATGTCAGACGTAGCCATGGATGCCAGCTCTGAGGTCTCTACCAAGGCCCTGAGGGAGAGGAAGGACATCATGGAGGAGATGGAAAATGGTAGAGATGAACCAGTTAATGGTAATGCTAATGAGAAAAATGGAGACGAGAAGGTTGACAGTGATGTAGATGAGGAAGATGAAGAGGATTAAGAAAAAAATGGTGAGGAAGAGGATGGAAATGAGGATGTGGAAGCAAATAGGCAGCTGAAGATGAGGAGAAAGAGGCTATTGAAATCAAAAGGCAGAACACCAACAAAATAACTAGACATTTGGGTTAGGATGGGCGGAGGAGGTTAATTTTTAAAAGGAGAGAAAGAAAAGACTGCGATGACCTATTAACCCTCAACTTCCTGTCTCAGAATGGTCACCCTCAAATAGAGGGCCCAAGCCTATTGGGTGTTGTAACCCAATCAGATAATATAGTCCTGATGATTACCAACCACAATGAGAATTACCAACAGGAAGAGGAAAAAAAAGAACTAAAACTTCTAAGACCCTGGTTTTCTTAAAAGCCCTTTAAAGAAAAATGATTGTATTTTTATTTAGATTTTATATTTTTGTGTGGTCAGTCATTTTTCCATGATTTTGGATGACTTGGTAGCCTTTGATATGTTCTCTATCCTGCTTCTGGTTTTACTTGTGTTGTGATCATATTCCTAACAATCTCAAAGGAGGGGGACAAACTTGCTTAAAAAAAAAACAGAAAACTATGATAAAACACACAATTTTATTCCAAGCATTCTAATAACTTTTGTGTGTGTAACTGTATTTAGCTATAAAATAAGTAATTGATTTGTTATTTGGTAGTTGGAAGGCCAGAAATAAAAGGGTTTTTATTTTTCCATTTTTCCCTTTATTTCTATATGTGAAGTTGCTGTTTGAAATTTCTTGCTCTGTTTTGTTTTAAAATGTTCATTTTGTTTCTTGGAGGGTGTGTGAAACATATTATCTAACAACAAACAGATATTTTATTTTATTGAGTTGTTCTAAAAAGAAAAAAAAAAACTGGTATAAACTTTGTGGCATTAAGAGGTGTTGTGTCCAGACCAATGTAGATGATAATTGTGAGGTGACCTACCCTGGTTAAACTGAATCTACATTATTTAATTCCCTTCTGGGCACATTTTTGGAAAAAACTATTGACTGGCTAGAGAACACCCTAAAGAAAGTAATAAAGATGAGTGCATCAGCTGAAGGAACTGGAGTTGTTTAGCCTAAGGAAGAAAACTAATTAACTGTTTTCAAAAATTTGAAGGGATGTCATTTGGAAAAAGGACTAGTCTTCTTTTATTTTGTCCCAGAGGGCCAAACTCTGGGACAAGATTTAAAGAAGATTAAAGCTCGATGTAAGGTAAAATATCCTAAGGGTTAGATCTGTTCAGAAGTGGAATGGATGTCAGAAGTGTTCCGCTCAGTAGAGGCCTTCCAGTGAAGACTGTATGACTTTTGCTGGGGATGTTGTAGAAGAGATTCCTGTTCAGGCAGAAGTTAGATTAGGTGGTCTTTGATGTCCCTTCCAACTCTGAGATTCTGTGATTCTGTTTCATCAAAGGATGGGCAGGTAACACACTCTTCCATCGGTGTAGTACACTGAGTTATTTTAGGATACTTAAGTAGAACTTCTCTTTCTTTACTAATAAGCTTGTCCCCTGGGGCATGCCATACTTTGATGTGTCAAGGTGGTATAACCTTATCTCCAAGACCAAATGATTTGGCCTCTCTGATGTCCATCTCTTTCCCTTTCCGTGCTTTTCAAGCTGGGTTGGAAAGAGCCCCGTGGGATTTGAGAGGAAGTACTTGAATTTAATATTAGCCTAGAAATATGAGGATTTCTAAGGAAAGTTCAAGAATGAAGACTATTCTGAATCTTCCAGTCTGAGAGTTACAGATTGAACCTAAGGGTTATTCAACCACCATCTTTCTTCGTGCTGTTCATAATATCCGTATATTGTAGTCTCTGTCCTGGAGGGCCAGGCATGGCAGCACATATCTGTCATCCCTGCTACTGGGAGTCTGAGCCTGGTGAATCCCTGGAGCTCAGGAGTTCTGAGCTGCAGTGCCCTGAAGCCCACTGAGTGGCACATTAAATCTGGCACCAGTATGGTGTGCCCCAAGGACCAGTGGACCACCAGGCTGCCTAAGGAGGGAAGAATTGTTTAAATCTGGCACCAGTATGGTGTGCCCCAAGGACCAGTGGACCACCAGGCTGCCTAAGGAGGGAAGAATTGTTTTAGGTCAGAAATCCAGCAGGTCAAAGCTCCCATACTGACTTTTAGGATTGGGTTTTTGAGTAGCTGTTGCATTTCCAGCCTACATAAGATAAGGAGACCCAGTCTACCAAAATAAATAAATAAATAAATAGGACTAGAAATGTCACAAATAACAAGATATAGTCAAGTCTTGCTATGAACTAAGAAGAAAGTCATTTGGACTAGATCTTACATTTAGGCTAGCTAGTAATTGATGTCAGCGAAACTTTTGCTCCTTACCATTTCCAGGTTAAGATTTCACCTCTCTAAAGGAATTGGCCTTTGAAATGAAATTGGACCTGTGTAGTCAACAAGAAAGTGAATAGAAAGAGGTCATAGTGAACATCTGTTCTTCCAGTTCCTGCATCCTCTCACCAAGCCCTCAGATGTGGAAGGTGGAGGAACTCAGCAAAAAGTTAACTAGACTAAATGGTTTCAAACTATGAGAGTTTACAAGCATTCTTGACAGGAAAAAACCTGACTTTGAGAATTCTGTCTCAAGAGAAGTTGAGGTTAACCAATGAAGTAAGGGTTAATTTGGGGACTGCTTTGGAGGAGGGATGTCACTGGATGGGTCAACAGTTTTCAGAGGGAGCACTTCCATAGAGAAGGATGTAGGTAAAATGTAGGACAAACAGTAGGTTGGGGGTGGGTGGGGAATGCAGTAGGCAGGCAATCAATTTAGGCTTCGGGAACAGAGGAGAAGAAAGTTTCTA